TCTGTTTCCTTACATCTGTTGTGTTACCCTGTTTCGGAGCATCTAACTTCCTGTGCACATTTGTTGGGTTACTGCTCTCAACACATGAGCCTCTGTCTGGAGGAGAGCGCTGGCTGTTGTTTCTATGATACCAACCGAACACACGTGAGCTATAGTCAGCCAGGCGCATCTCTTTATATGTAATATAAATAAATGGCACTTTTGCATTAAAAATACAATTATTTGACTTTTTTTCCCTCAATTAATCAAGGAAATCATTAACAGACTAATTGATTATGAAAACAATCATTAATTGCAGCCCTAGAGTATAGATAAGCGTACATATATTAGAGCTGCAATGATTAGTCAATCAACACAAAAATAAATTACAACTATTTTAATAATAATCGTATTTTTTTTCAGGCAAAAATGCCAAACATTTGATGGTTCGGGGTTTAAAATGTAGGAACTTGCTGCTTGTCTCATGTTAAATATTTTGGGGGCTTGGGCTGTCGGTGGGAAATAAAAAGACATTTCCTGAGGTCTTCATGGGCTCTAGGAATTTGTGATGCACGTCTCATTGTTTTCTGGTGTTACATATATCAAATGATGAATCTATTAATTGAAGAAAATTGCGGATAGATTACGCAATATTGAAATGAATAATTAGCTGCAGCCCTGTGTATCAGCAGTACCACCCATCTCCTCTCGCGGGTCAGCTCCGTTGCATCAAATCAAGCGCTCCATACTGTAATCTGTTTGTTTACCTGTGAGCTGCTTGATGTAGCGACGAGGAAATAACCTGCTCTTCTTATGCAGGTAATCTGCCTCTATTTATAAACAGACATACACTGGATTACGAGCTGGGTGCTGGATTACACAGGAAGCCACACCAGACATCCTGTGCTTGCAGAGTAACAGGATGGGGAGGACAGGAGGGGGTGGGGCGGGGGTAGTGGCAGGTGATAGCATTTAGTTGCTTTAACTCGGCCTCACCCTCGTCAGCTCAGGCAGAACTAGTTTTACCACGCTGAGACACAGAGAGGAGAGAGAGACGGCTCCGCTCACCGACCTGCTGACAGCGGGAAACCCAAGAGTGTCGTCCAACAGCTAACGCAGCCGATTAATGACAATGAACGGCTGATTACCTGCCCAGAGGCGTGTGCTGTAATTCACCAGTCGCTCCGGTCAGGCACTGGAAAATGGAAAGTGACAGTTTCTTCTCTGAGGAGTCAGTAACCGGAGGTTCCCTGTTAGTTCTTCATTTACATCTGACTAAGATGATGGTATTTCTCTCCCCCCCCAGCCTCCTGCTGTCAGTCCTCTGAGGAACTAAAATGTGAGACTACCCAAAAGACCAGCTGCTCTGCACATGACACTGTAGAAACTAGACATTTCTCTCAGTTTGAGGCATCAGCTTTAGGTTACGGACGGATATGCTGTCACACAGGGCTCGGTATCATTCACAGTGTTTCAAAAATGGGTGCCAGTTAGGACCGAAATTAATGAATATTAATTGACTAACCATTTATTCGAATATTGCAAACAATTTTGCTAAGCCGAAGGTGACATTGTCAAGAGTCCAAATATTCAGATATTCACCTTAAAAGCTGATCTCTTTTGACACGTTGAAATCGGTAAATATTTGACAGTTTTTCAGAATTTCTGATTAAATGATTCTCAAAATAGATGCTGAATATCAATCAACTGGTTTATGATAAGTAAGTTTTCACATTTCCACCTTCTGATACAAGACGCCACAAAGGAATCAGCGGGAATCCTGCAATTTGATTCGATTCTTTGGGTCAGAATTGGATTCAGGATCGATTCTCGATTCAAACCCAGATTCTCCACCGATTAGATAGAAATGTGTTTTGCAAAAAAAAAAAAGAAGTTGGTGTGTAACATTATGTCTCCAGCAGTGGATTAATTAATCAACAACACTTCAGTCAATTAATCAGAGTCAATATTCACTGGTCCGAGCACCTTGATTGAGGGTATTTGCTGTTTTTCTAAACTGTAAACTGAACATCTTTAGGTTGTGGACTGTTGGTCAGACAAAAACAAGACACTTGACGACGGCACCTCAGACTCGGAAGTTTTCATCAGCATTCACTTAAATCTTACATATTTAAAACTAATTGAAAGAATATTGTTATTCATCTATATTGAAAGGAATCTTTAGTTACAGCCCTATTAACACGATTCAGCTGGATTTCAAAAAATATTCAGGTTTGATTTTCAGGCACATAAAGTAGGGTGGTACTTCAGTCTCATTACCGAAAAGCTCACAGGTTTGATCCCAATTATGAGTGAAGTATCTGGTTGAAGAGTCTCTAAGCTGCTGCAAAGCTTAACACCAGGAACATCAACACAACCAGTGTAAATCGGTGTGAGTGCAGCAGATTCTCTACAAAAAGCTGTCAAGGTGAACATGATCTAATTACCCAACCCCAAACACTTCTAATACTCGACGGCACATCCGATAAAAACAAGATCCTATCTCAACCACTTCCTCTAAACTTTTTCCTCCTGCAGAGGAGCTCTGTGTAACACCACAACAATCTCATTAACTTTAAATAACAAATACACTCTCATGTTAAATCATGTTTCCACACAACAATCTCATTAAGTTTAAATAACAAACACATTCTCATGTTTAATCATGTTTTCTAATCTAATTCCAAAACTGTCATCCGTGTGTGTGTGTATATATATGAGTGTAGATGTAGAAGATGATGTTTTAGTCAAATAAAGTGTCTGTATTTCTATTCTACTTAAAGCTGTGGTTGTGGATCAGCTAGATAATAACAGGTGAGTTTCTTTGTGATGTTTGCCAACAGCTATTTCTGGTCATTTATCTACTAAAGTAAAATAAAACCACAAAGTTCAAGTTCCAGCTTGTGAAACTCTCCTGCCCTTCACACTTTCTCTTTACCACAGGTTTAGGGCTGCATTTTGTTTTCTACCACAATGATTTGGCAAGAATAATAAAAAATAAAAAAAACAGTGTACAAGGTTTTTTTTCTGGTCGTTCAACTACAGCTGCAAAAAACATTTATTTTAGTTTAGTTCATGAAATATCAAAAAATTATGAAAAATGCACGTCACAGTTTCTCAGAGTCCAAGGGAACATCTTGGAATTGCTTGTTTTGTTCGACCAACAGTTCAAAATTCACAAATGTTCAATTTAAAATGATATAAAGCAAGTAAAACCATGAAATACTCAATATGATATAAGCTGGGTTCAGTGAATATTGGATATTTTTGCAAATTAAATGAATTATTTCAGGATTAATTTGTTCGTTTTGAGAGAGAGACCAGAAGAGTAAAGCTGACACAACCAACTCATTTAATAATAAGCTCATTTACAGACAATTAATCTACAAATATTTCTGAAAATTGATTAGTCATTTAATAAAACTCAACATCAAGAGAATTCTTTTTCTAAAGTTGCTACAATCAATCAATTAGTCGATTAAATTTTATGGTTTTTATGGTGAGAGCTGCAACAATTAGTTAATTAATCAAATGAAAAATTATCAGGAAATATTTTTGTAAGAGAGTAATTGATCAATTTTGATAAATGGATAAAAGATTTGCTGTTTTCAGCTTCTCCAACGTTAAGACTTCCTGCTTTTCTGTGTTTATTATTATTGCAAATTAAATATTTTGGGGTTTTTGACTGTTGGTGGAACAAAACAAGACATTCTTAAGTCAGTTTACACTTGCAGAACTTGTGACAGGTATTTTTCATTTTATATCTTAAATTAATCAAGGAAATAATCAGGGGATTAATTAATAATAATATATAACTGTTTTGTCTCTGGGTTTTGGACTGTTGGTCAGGCGAAACAAAGCATCCAAACAGGTGAACTTTGGCTCTGGAAAACTGTGTTTTTTCACCATTTTCTATTATTTAATAGATTTAACAAACTCTCTATTAACTGATAAATATGTCAGGTTAAACAACAATTGAAATAATCAATAGTTGCAGCTATAAAAGATGTAAAACTGACTATGTGTTGTTTTGAAATCCAGTCCAAATGGCATCTTCTAATCAGGGTTTAAAATTCCTTCCTTAAACTAAGAAGCATGTTATTGGATGTAAATGGATAATAAGAATAATCCCACTATGGCAGACAGACTATGGCAGACATGTGAACTACCCTTGGCCTTGAAGGAACACCATCCTCTCACAGGAGAAGTCAAGTAAAAACAAAAGAGGATTTGGAGCAGTGTAATCCCAACTACAGACATGACTCAAGCAAAGACAGGACAAGGCGAACTTCCTCTTTTTTGTGGTAGAAAAAGTTTCACTAGCAGTCAGGATCACACACATTCACTTCTGTTACAACACAGCCCGGACCTCTCACTCATTATAGGCTACCGGTACGGTGGTGTACAGGTGGGTGGAGTAAGCCAGGCAAACCCAAACTTTGTACCACTTGGAAAAGTACTTCTGATTAATCATACATGAAGCTAAAGTTGTATGAGCCGAGGAACACTTGATAAATGGTGCGTTTCCAGTCGGTCCTGATCTGCCATACATAAATAATCCACAATGACTTTATCCCACAGGCTTAACACAGCCGACACCAGCGAGGCACGTAGGGTCACAATGACTTAATTCTCCCTTTACATTCACACTTTGTACCAATAAAACATCTGAAAGTTTCTTCTGTTGCACATCAGTGTTTTTAAGTTATCGCCCAAGTTTGGCAGACTGGTGTCAGTTGGCAGCGTTAGCACAGCTAGCACAGAAGTTAGCTTCCAAAACGCCGCTCATTTGTCTATACTTGTGCCGAAGCTAACTCAACTCTGCTAGCTTGTTATTGCCGCCACAAATGCTCGTCTATCTTATCTCACAGTTCACGATTTAAGGAAAGTCGAAAAAAAGGAAGGTTTTACTGCGCTAAGTTGAGCAGCTAGCGCCTGTTAGCATGAATGGGAAAAAGTAGCACCGACCCACGGAGCTAGTCAACAGAGACAACTTTTAAATCAGACAAAAAAGTACATACCCGACGGCAACTTTAACGGCGACTTGGAGCTGAGTTGTATTCCAGATAGAGTCAGTAAAGCAGCGCCTCCACCTCAGAAACCACCCGCTGTGTCCGCAGACACCGACAGCAGCTGGAAACTCTGCCGCTGCCCCGAAAATAAAACAACAACATGGCAGCGGAGCGACGCGCTGCGTTCACGGCACACGGCACGGTCGGAGAATAGATCAGAAGCGACAAACTCCTCAACAAATGTTCATCGAAAAGGCAACTCCTGATTCAAAATGTAACTTCTGCACTTAAGTATTTACATTTTAGGCTACTTAATACTTTTACTCCACCACATTTTTGACTACTTTACTTACTTTGCAGATTCAGATTTTGCAATCAAAAGCAGATATGATCAGAAAGAATTAACCAGTGGTTTCCAACCTTTCATGGTTTCTTTTAAATAATCAAGGTTTAAAGATGTAAATCTCACCAATATTCCAAAAAAAAACAAAAACAAATCAAAAATTGGAAAAAAGTCCAAAAAACTGAAAACAGAGTAGTGTATTTGACTTCTTTCTTTTTCCATTAGTCATATCACTGACTCCTACACAGTTCAAGATTTATGTTGTGAGCCTTCGGATGGGGCCCAACCACTGGACTACTAAAGCAGTAAAATGCTGCTTAAGCACTGATGACACAGTATGAATAATGCAATTTATCATATCAGTCACAAGGTCCAGTTTTCAGCCAAACAAGTGCTTCAAAGTATTTATACACACTGTTGCAAAATCATGCAAAGATCTAATAAACAGTCACCTTACTTATTTTTATCATTGCCCTCAATGGTCCACTACACTTTAAATCTATGACGACTGACAAATGATATCATTCTGTTGTATTACATTGTCATGCTGTCACTCTTATGATTAAGTACCACTATTGTGATGTGGTAATGACATTTCAGTCAGTGCTGGGTCAAACTTGATTCACAATCTTATAGCAATAACAATGAATTCCAAATTACTGTGTCAAACTGCTAACATAATTATTAGATATGAAGTTTTAATTTTGACTTAGTACATCACAACTTTGAGATACTTTTTATGCAGTTTCTTGTTTTGGTATTGGTCATTTTTTTTACCTAATGCTGATTAATTTATTGTCATAATTCAATCTTTTTAGATTTTTCTTTTATTTAAATTTTTACGTTACAACATGACACATTTAGTGACCCCCCCCCCCCTGGCTAAAATATTTAAAATAAACAGAAACAGACCAAGAGCTAGTACTCGCTATAGATTTTGTGTGATATCAGCTTTCAGTAAATCATACCTAAACAATTACTTTTATTCTGATGTCAAGTTGCTGAATGTCTTGTTTTGCTGGTGGAGTCTAGATTAATCAAATTTTACAAATCCTCACCATTCACCAATACAAAAATAGTGTCAGTAGAGTCAACTGCGTGGAACTTTATACTTACATATAATGATCGAAATGCTTGATTAAACTGACTCAACTCACCTCTTGGAATAACATGTCAGGACAGAAATCTTGCGAAATGTCTCATTTGTGTGTGTTTGCCATCGGGGTGTGTTACTCACAGTCAGGCAGGATTCTTTTATTACTCACACAAGTGCATCTTTGCAAAAGGCTCAAAGTCTTCACCACTGGCGTGCTGACACCTACACACAAGTTTTAACAAGTGCAGGTACTCCACTACCACAGCGCCGAAGCAGATTATTCCCACGTGCAGCGAAGGCAGCATGAGCAGTGCCAGAAGCTGTGCTGTTGGGAGGAGACCTGCCTCTGGTTCAGAGTAGTGTAGAGAGCAGGGCAGGCTGTGGCTCAGCAGGCAAACATGTACAGTCACTCAATATATTTAAAAAACAGAAAAACAAAAGATGAATAATGTTTTTTTGTTTTTTCTTTTCTAGATGCTAGAAACAGAAACGCGCTGCTGCTTTGCCCTTGGGGCAGTTTGCCTTAAGGGCAAAGCTGGTTTTTACCCACCAGAAACCACTGTAACAAGTCTGGCTTGTCTGACTTAATTAGATATATTTATCCAGAGCTTTCAGTCCATATCACATGGTCTTCATCAGCAAATAGAGCTTCCTCGTCTGTCACGGAGACGGGTCTGTTGACATCCAAGCTCTGCAGCGGTCATGAATTCATCCATAGCATGTTTAAGACTTTTTATTGGCTTAAAAGTTAAGCATCAAAGTTCATTTTAAACCTTGAAAATAGTAGTTTGACAACAGTCCCTGCTCAAAGTCCACTTACATGCTTTTTTTTTTTTTAGAGCTTTCAACTGTATGCTAAACTTTAAACAGATGAGAAGTCTGAATACTTCTGCGCATGAAAGTGTAACAGCTACCAGGCTTGTACATCAACAGATGAGCAAACTGCACCTGCAGATGAAGACCATATGATAATGGTTGAAAGCCCCAGAAAAAGCAAATAAGCACACCTTTAAAAGATTGTTTTTGTACTGTTTTCTTATTACGCTTTTTATTTCTGTTTTCACAGTCAGGCAGACTGAATGACCTCTGTGTATGATAATGTCATATACAAATAAATTTGCCTTGGCTTTGTCCCACGGCTCTTTCCAGAGTCGACAGATGCTTCACACTGAAATCTTTTACCTAGAAAATATTTGGTTTAATGTGCAAATGTGCAGAACATCAATCGACTCAAAAATCACTGAACCCCCCCAATATATTAAAGGATCTATTATTTTTAGGATATATTAAGTTCAAGTCTGAGTTCAGTGAGTTCAAACCAACAACAAACAAACTTTTTACATTTCTTCTGTCTCGGTGCAATTTTATGTGTTATAATAATTATCATTATTATTATTATTATTATATGCTTATTCTTAAACATCTCCTCTGGGCACCTTCAAAGTCTTAAAATTTACACTGCTCTGAATAATGATGTGTTAAAAAAAAAACTTTCAGCAGATCAAAGTGAAACCGACCTTCTACTGTCAAACTCAGTTCATATAACAGTCAGGGAGACTTTAAGGTTGAGTTTGAGCGTGGAGACAGTTATAATGTATTATGTATAATGTATAATGTGAGTGTAGCCAAAGCACACCTGTCACAGGTGATCTGAGATGACAGTTTAAGAGGATCAAGATACTCAACTCACTTCCTGCATCCATCTATAGAGGTGATTACTGACCTGAATCATCAATGAACTTAATGCTGGAGACACTGGAAGAAACCAGATTACACCGCAACACTAATCACCTCTTAGAATAACACAGTGACCTCTCAGTGCTGGTTTTACTTTTCAGGAATTATTCCCTTTACAGCATTAGTAAGGAAAATAATGACAATATAAGAATTCAAAAAAGAATAGTATGTAATTAAATGACAATAAATTGGTTAATAATTATAATATATAGTTAAAATATGACATTTTCTTCAACATTAGCTGCTGTCTTCAGCCTTCATGAATCTATTGTGTGAATGAAATAAAAGTATTATGATGTCACAGTGAAGTTGACCTTTGACCCTTTGGATATATAAAAATCTCATCACTTAATTTTACCCTTGTGGATATTTGAGTTAAATTGTGTCGTGATTAGTGGATGAGTTACGGCCAAAAGTCATGTTTTGAGAATCGATTTTTGTGACAAATCTAAACAAATTCCCTCAAGGTCGTCCTTGAGAGATCACAGTCAAGAGGCTGAAACCGTGTTACATGAGGTAACTGTGACCTTTGACCTTTGACCACCAAAATCTAATCAGTTCATCTTTGAATTTGCGGCAAATTTGAAGAATTTCCTTCAAGGTGTTACTGAGACGTACAGACGGACAACCTCAAATCAACATGCCTCCAGCTCTGGCTGTCGCCGGCGTAGAGGAATAATCAATAATCTAATAGTAAGATGAAATGAAAAAAAAAAAAGTTTGGCCATTAAACATCAAATTTCCAATGAAAATGAATCCAACAACTTTAGCTGCTACAAAAGTAACGTCAAGAGAAAATGAAAAATTGACGGTGACATTAGCTGCTAAATCTGGCCGTCACTAATTCAGTATTTATTCAACAGCGAACGTAATGTGACAAAATGTCAGTAACTTTAGCTGCTGAATAACATCCAGATAAAATGTGATGTTTTCAGTAACATTAGCTGCTATGAAATGAGACAAACACTCGACCTGCAGCCTGTGAGTTTATGAGTGGACGTCTGTACAGCTCCATATGCTTGAGGAACTATTATGTAACACGATCCAGATTCTTCACTCTCACATCCGTCTTTTCGTTCATGCTTCATTTCTTTCATTCTCAGTTCTGCGTTTTCGCTCTCGGTTTACGTTCAGAGTTTCATTCGCTCATCTACAACTTTCATTTTACATTTTAGGCCCTAAATCACCTCCATAGATCAACCCTGGGGTGGGGGGCGGGGGTGGGTGACTGGGTTATTCTGGGTTATGTGGTAAAATGACACCCAGCGGTAGTTTATTTTTCATAATAATCTGCAGACTGACGGTGCCAGGGCTTCTGTCGGAGCTCGTGTGTTGTGATGTTGGTTCCTGGGTGGGTGGAGCTGGAGGCAGCAGGTCACTGGCACCGGACCATCCTGGCACCAGTGGTCTGCTTTTCTGTTTTAATTCATTCTGCATTTATTTTCTCACTCTGGCTTTAGTCCCATCTGCCATTTTTGCTCTTTCAGTTAAAAAGAAAACAGATTTCTGCTCAATAAAATTCCTTAAACTCTTGACTTCTTCTCCTGATCTTTTGAAAATGCAAAATGGTGAACTGAATGTATTCCTCTTTGTTATTAAAGAATAAGAAATAAAGTTTAAACATTACTGTGTCAGACTTAAAACAAACGTGCAAAAGTAAAGTTTGTAGAATGAAGTGCTTTGGGATCAGGAGCCGGGCGCGCCTCAACCTTTCCCCCGATCACCTTGTCCAGACTGGTTCACAACACACCTGGGTGCAGTCAGTTGAGAGTCATGTGATCTGTCAGAGTTTGCCTAGCAACCACTGGAGATGTTGTTCAGACGGACAATCACCGAGTCCGACTGGTTGGGACGGAGATCGGACCCTGACCATCAGGGTCCGATCTCCGTGATGGTGGCGGTGGTGGACGGGCGACGTAGTATCGACTGCAGCAGAGACAAAAC